TACTATATTTCTAGGTTTCCTATTTCTACGTTTAATCGGCTCATGTCTCAGCCACAATATTTTGAGGACAATATTATTTACGAACCCAGTTAAACTTATTTACTAGCCTATTTCAACGTGCTAATTGTTACATTTAGGCGACGCTTGTTGTAGACTGGCATAGTGTTTGCGGAAATAAATACCATTTTATACACATCATGCGCAGATCGATTCGCCAGCAGCGAGTCTTCGCCAGCAGCAGCGAGCCATTGCCAGCAGAGAGATGTCACTGCAGCAAAACACGATTGTACCAACGCTGTTCTAATAATATATAGACAATGGGTCGTGCTCATATTATTTGTTATATTTTTATTATTCATTATTTTCACTTGACTCGCATAAATAATTTTGTTCGAAGAACATTTTATGCAGTTGTACTTCGCAGCACTTCACTTGCAATTTGCAATTTCTAGTAATAATAATAATACTGTATCAGCAAAAATTTGAACAATATATAATGTTAATGCTAAGACTAATAATTAATATTAAAACTAACGGTAATAAAAACAACAATAATAATAACAACAATGACAATAAGTAAAGTAATACTTCAAGAATTAGTATTTTATACTTGATGAATTACTCCTTCTAAGTGTAGTACCAGTAAATGGCTTGTGGCCGAGTTGATTTGTGGCCGAGTTGAATTGTGGCCGAGTTGATTTGTGGCCGAGTTGATTTGTGGCCGAGTTGACTGTAGCCAAACTTTTTGTGGCCGAGTTGACTTGTGGCCGAGTTGGATCGAATTCGGCCGAATACCCTTAGGCCTACCCCAAGAATACGGAGACTGCCGTTAGAAATTTTGTGGACATCACAGCCTGTAATACCCATGGCTCGAATGCCGTAGAGAAAATAGTTTTTCTTGCTGGCGAAAATAGAATTTTTTCTAGCCCTATGCTGAGACGTACGTAGATATTCTCTATGGCGAAAATAGATCTCAAGCATTGAATAAGTTATTAGGCAAGGAGGGTTGCCAGATAGTCGATAGGCTTCACGGCCAAACACACGCCATCTCACGGCCAAATTCGGCCAAACTTTTTTTCGATATCGGCCAAAATTCGGCCAGATTTTAATCCGATTAGAAGACAACAGTGGGTACATTCATTTTAAATACTACAAAAATTATACGAAAATCAGCGGTCATTCGTTTGAAATTGAAGAAATTCAAATGATATACACAGAACAATGTTAAAAATAAATAGCCTATCTTCTTAAGTTGCTGGCATGCAGGCCAATTCAGGGGCAAATCCAGAGATGTCCGAAAGGGGAGGGCCGGGGCGAAAGTGGGTCTGATCGAGATAACACCATCTAAGAGGAAATTTGTCTTTTCTAGACGCCCGAAAATAACCTGATGCATTTGGGCGATCAATTTTTCTTTTTTTAATTTTTTTTTTACCACCCCTCCCCCTTAAATCCACCTCTGCTATTTAAAATCACAATATTAAGATTGATCTAAATTTGATTTAAATGTATTAAATATTAATGTACATTGTAGTCGATCTATAGCAAACATTTTAAGGGCCTGTTATTGGCAAATCCGTGGCTCTCTTTAATTAGAATGAATTAAGTTACATAGTTAGGTAACACAAACTGGTGTTAAAACAAACCTATGAAAACTTTAATAAATACTTTTTATCTAAACTTTTGAAATTCGCCTCTGAATGTTATTGTCGCAGTACTCAATCAATGTTTCTATCAGAATTATCTTCTTCATTATCATATGCAACCTAACTCCAGAAGAAGACTTCGAAGAAGTCTCTGCAAAACTTGCTCGAAATTGGAGGTGCCATCGGACCCGAATGATCACATCGAACATTTATATATGGCACTCTACATAAAGAACATTGCGGCACCTAGGGCTATACAATTCGTTCAACGCCAGTACAGTATTTAATTTATATTCAAAAGAAATTCAAAAGAGATAGGGCCTCCATATACAAAGACACACAATATGGCACAAAGTTGCAATGAACTGTTATCTTTTAAATAAACTCTCTTACGTCAAATCGGCTGGGAACATAGATTAAGTGTTTAGTGCAAGTACAAACAAAGGTACAAATTTAGAATCAAATATAAAATTTAAGCTAACAAAAACAAAATATCCAAAAAAGTCTATGTTATATTAGGGCTATATTGAAAAAAATGTAAACTTTTCAAAAATTCGGCCAAATATAGTTTGGCAGTGACTTTTCAAATGCTACGGCCAGGCAAATTTTTATACGGCCAGATTTGAGGAATCTGGCCGTCAAAAAGGCCAAATGGCAACCCTGGCAAGGACTGCAACTTTCTAGTTGAATATTCATGAGTATAGCGTGCCCTCTATTGACTTCTGCCTTAAATGACGAGGAAAAACATTTTCGCCGGTCACATAATTACGGTAGTCGTGGTCCATTATACAAATCATACTACAGTATTAGAAAATGATTGAAGCTTAAGACGTAGTATGTTATTTTTTTCAGAATATTTAAACACTTCGTATAGACTACCCTTCTTCATTGGAATGTTCGTCCAGAAGCCTATTCTGGACGAATCATCTTGTTCTAATGTATAATATACAAATAATGAATGTTTATGAACGCAATGGGAAGAATATTTTCAGGAGTTAAAAAATTGACTGGTCCATTCGACAAGGCGGAGCCGTGTTGAATGGAACATTCAATCTTTCAACGGATGAAAATATGCTTTCCATTACGCGAATAAAAACATTCATTATTTGTTTTATAACACACCTAAAATAGATTCTTGTCATTTGATATTTTAAGAAAAAAATCAACCTTTTTATCTGAATGGAGGTTCTTGTCATTTGATATTTTATAAATATCAAATCAAAATCTACCCCTTTTCTACATGGAACAGCCCAGCCTCCCTTTAACCATTAAAAAGATTGTATTAGGTTGAAGCAGGGACGTATTCAGGGGGAAGCCGTGGGAGCCGCGGCTCCCCCCCCCCCCTTGAACACAGGTTAAAATTTTAAACCTTGTTCATGCCAGCCAATACAAATTCTTTCCTGTGATCACTCAAAATGAATACTTCTAAAATATGTAAATATACATCAGCACACGTTAACATATACCTAATAGGCCTACAATAGTTATAACTTATAGGCCTAAGCGTGATTTTTTTACGCAAATTACAAATCAAATTGAACATGGTATGTCATAAATCATTTTGCTGTCCTATGCTATGGGATAGTTATAGTCAACTCTGAAGACGGCATGTCACATTTTTGCAATAACACATTAAAGCAAAACAGGGAGTTTGGAGTTGATTATGATGTACAATTTTTAATTGACTCCTTCTACTATAGGTTTGCACCCGTGCTCTGATAGAAACCCACCACAACCGTCTATCTGCAGTAAAAAGCCACCGGCTAACCTGATTGTCACTCAGTGAATATTCGTTAGATCAATTTTTCACTACACCTGTACACGATAACGCAAAAATTAATATGTTCGGGTTTATAACGGCTACAGCTCAGGGGGTTGATTTATCAAAAATCATCTTAAATTCGTCTTAAATCCATAAATTCCAGGCCAGGTCTTTTAAGATACAGAAACATGAAATTGTATGGTTCAGTTTTCTTTGTTTTATAAAGCTTTGTTAAATAATACCACAACACTACTATTACTACATAGTAGTAGTGGTAGTGGTAGTGGTAGTAGTTGTAGTAGTAGTAATAATAGTAATAATGGTGATAATAGATAATAATACTAATAATTTTTTTTTTAAGTGAAAAATAATAATTTATTAATTAATTAAAGTGAAGAAAATTGTGCTAAAGGCGAAAAAGATTATAGTTAGGCCTAAGTTGTCC